CGCAAATTAAAGTGCGCCCGAGCCGCTCCAGCAGGCGTGCTATATTTCATCTGTTTTTTCCTACCACGATTCAATATTTCATAGTTCACATAGTTCGTCCGACTCGGACTCTGCCTGCTTCTATGATAGCCTACTTCTACGATACAAAATAAAACGAAAAACTAGTACTACTTGTCTGACTCGGACTCTGACTCGGTGATGTCCTCGTCCGACGTATGTGCGTAGGCGTCAAAGAACCGCTCGTCGCCGGAGTCCCAGGAGGACGCATCTCCTAGCGCGATGTTGTATTTAGCTACCGCCCTCCGCGTTCGCTTGTCCTCACGATAGGCGGCTCGCTCCTCCCTCCTCTTCGCCCTCTTCGCCCTCCTCTGGGCGAAGAACTGTTCCTCGTTGGTGTCTTCCGGGAAGCGATGGCTCCACAGCGCCATGTCTTGCTCGTCCATCTCGGCCAGCCTGAGACGACGCTCCCGCCTCCGGTGCTTGCAACGATCCTCGTCGGCGAGAAGCCGCGGGAAAGGCGCCAACTCCTGTGCCCGCTCCCGCGACGCCACGTCGGCGAAATTCATGTCCTGACGGGACAGCAGGAGGCGCCACGTCGCAGCGTCGTACGCGCGGGTGCCCTCTTGGGCGGTGTCGAAGGTTCTGAGGCGGAGGCGCATGCTGCCGCCCGACCAAATCTTGGCGGAGTAGGTGCCGGACGGACGCACGCGGACGCCGCGGTAGCCCGAAGCTCCCCGACGGCGAGGCGGCATGATGGCGCGATGGTGGCGTGTCGGCGGCAAAGGGCGGCAGAGGGCGATGGTGAGATGGAGAGAGCGGCAGAGGGCGCTGCAATTTATAGGCGCCCCGGACGCGGCGCGCCAAATGTAGCGCGCGAGCTGCTGCCTTTTCCCGCACGCGCAATCATTTCCCGCGCGTGCTAGTTTTCCGCCACCGCTGGAGCGCGTGAAAACGTCCCACGCGCGTTAAAAAGCCAATTTACCGCGCGCGCGTCTTTTGGCGCGGCTGTTGGAGATGCTCTTACTACTTTATCATCATAGAAATTAAGGGAGACCCCGCCTCTTTGGTTGAAATAAGAATATTTTAGCATGAGCGTGTAATGCACCTACTGACTGCTCATTTGCATTGAAACATATGGACATGCTAGAATTGGCCTACACAGGCCACAACTACGCGTAAACCGGCTGATGGTAGGAGTTTTTAAACCGCCTTGCCAGCCCTTGATCTGCGTTAATTTAGGACGCTTGATCCCTGAACGGTAACATCACAAAGCCTATATCTCACCAGCACCAATGGGTGCATCCTTGCTCCCGTGCAATTAGCTTCAGTGGGCAGTTGGGCGACATGCATTAGCCGTGGCGCTCAGGTAGCAGCAACGGCGTCACCTGTCATCTCACGCCAAAAACGCCGACGAGCTCACCATGCACAGGCCACGGCACCAGCAATGTCACTGTTGTGACCACCCCTTGAACCACCGGCGAAGCTCCATTGAAGCACCGACAATGCTCCGTCTGGCCGACAATGCTCCAACACAGCATCGGCGATGCTTCGTTGCAGCACCGGCGAAGCTCCGGCGGCCCCGACGATGTTTCATTGCAGCTCCGGCGAAGTTCCATTGAAGCACCGACAATGCTCCGGCGGGCCGACAATGCTCCAACACAGCACCGACGATGCTTCGTTGCAGCACCGTCGAAGCTCCAGCGGCCCCGACGATGCTTCATGGCAGCGCCGGCTGCTGCAATAGGGTGGGTGGTCGCATCACCGGCTGCTGCAAAAACCCGACGGCATGCCCTGCTGCACAGCACCACACCGCCGCGTCGATGTGGTGCAGCTCCTCACTACAGTCAGAGATTACACCATGCGCTGTGAGCGGCACCTTGCGACACCCCCGTCGTCTACAGCATTGGCGGCCTCTATCCCCGTGGCCCCCGTAGCACCCCGACCATGAACATCATCGCCGTTTCGCGGCAAAGAGCTCGCCGTTCGTGTGGTCGAATAGCAGGTCGTCGCAGTGCAACGCTGCCCCTTGCAGCAGCAGCAGCTCCACCGGCCAGAGTGAGATACGGGAGGAAAGGACGGGATGCTCTTCGGGAGAGAGCAGAGCAAAGTTGCAAAGGATTTGGGAGAGAGCAGCAGCAAGATTTTGCTGATCTAGTTCAGAGGAAGAGGACGACTCGAGAAGAAAGGGATAAGGCCGCGGGATGGATGGCATGGCTACGAGGACGCGTGTCAATCCCTCGAGGCGGTTTACGCGTGCGTTAAACCAGTCGGTTGAAAGCAATCGTTTTCCATATGATAGACAACTCAATCAACATACACACCTAGCTTCCAAATCAAGCACTAGTTCCTTCCTGATCAAGAACACACCCCCTTCCAAATCAAGAAAACCTAGCTACACACGATTTTGCCCTAGCCATGAATACTTTGCTTAACCAATTAACGAGGGCGAAGTTACAAGTTGTTGCTTCGCATTTGGGGAGCCGGCGCGTCTGCCGGTCATCATAGACATCGACGTACATGGACTTAGGAGGTGGCGGCGACGGCGGCCAGGGATTACGATATCATCGATCGAGGACTTCGAAAGCGACAGACAAAGACTTGGAGGCAGTGGCGGCGGGGGCGTCGGAGGCGGGGCCCGTGACGCCGGGTGGAGAGTGAAGACGACCCACTCGCTCGGATGAGTCTAGACGACGCCAATCTAGAAGGTCCATTGATGCCGAAAAATTAGGTCAGACCAGTCGACCATGCCGGTCCATTCCCAACTTGATGGAAGGGGGAGTGGATCATGGCCTCATATGGGTGATGGCAAACAGGAACCACGGAGCGCTGTGAAGCAGACGGGCGGAGCCAGACCACGGAACCACCGGCGGGAGCCCCGCCGATATTTCCCCCCTCCCCTGGGTCGAATCACCGAGCCAGCCGCATATTCGCGTCGCACCGCGGGAGCGGAGACAGGTCGTAGGCAGGCGCACGCGGCCCTGCCCTCATCCCGCCACCGATCCCAAGGCCAGGCCACCACCCACCCATCCGTCCCCTCCACGCCACCACCCCATCCCCCGGCCCCACCACCCGCCGCGTCGGGTCAAACTCCACCATCCCTCGCCTATCC